TATATATATATATATATATATATATACATTTCAAAATATGTTGTATGAAGTAAAACCATGTATTTTATCTGACATTGTAAAAAATGAAATAAAGAATAAAAAATTAGGAGAAGAGGTGGGAACTGACCTTCCAGTGGACACTGAGACTGATGCTGTGAGTATGCTGTGGAAGTCTGAGTGAAGCGGCAAAAGCTACTGTTAGCTGAACATACTTTATCACTTAGAGACCGGCGAGCTGACACCCTGTGATGGACTGTGGAAGCCAGAGGTGTGGGTGAGTTGGAATGTGATATGTCAAAATAGTTCTGGTTCTGCTATCATCTGAATCTTTCCTTTTCAAAGTTAACATGATTCTGGATAAATCTAAGATGTACCACATACTGGGCAGCTTTCTGTTATCGTAGCAGAGTACCAGGGATGATGTTTATAATAAGGAAAAGTTTGTTTTGACTCACAGGTTAGGGATTTCAGCCCATGGCCTGTTGACCCACTGTTTGGGCCTGTAGCGAGGCACATGTCATGTCAGAAGTGTGTGCTGGAGCGGAGCTATTTACTTCTTGGCTGGGAGGCCAAAAGAGAAGCGGGAAGGGGCTGAGGTTCCATGTTGCTTCAGGGCCTGCTGCCAAGGGGGTAACACCCTCTCCTTAAGTCCCCCCTCTTAAAGAGTCCAATAACTCCTGAAGGCCATGGGCTGAGGACTTGGGATGATCCTTTAACTCATGGGCCTTTGGGGGACATTTAATATCCAAACTGTGTCACTGTTTCAAGACTGAAAGCTGAAGGACAGAAGGGAACTCAAAAGTTCCTGTGAGCCAGGCACAGCTGCAGGGTGGTCATGCGACGTGGTCATGCAGTGTGCATGCTGCAGGCTAGTGACAGCAGAGACAGAAAGCCCCCAGCCTGTGGAGCCTTGGGGCAGTTGTGGATTCTTTGGTGATGCCTCATCTGTCAAGATGCTGTGTTTTTGCTTGAGGAGGTCAGTGGTGTTCCACCTCCAGGCAGGAGCTTACCTAGTAATGTAGCGTGTGTTCCACAGAGACAGGGATTTGGCTTCAGATGGTTCCCCATTGTCTCCTCAGCCTCTAACACTGCACCTGTGACACTCAGGATGTATTTGTGGGGTGAAGAGTAGTGTCAGAACCCATTCACAGGCAGGCAGCTGGCGTAAGTCACCAGGAAGTTGGGCACCAGGCTTCATAAATCAAAATACTTTTTTTTTTTTTTTTGGCCCCACCAATGTATTTAATGGAAGGTCTGACTTCCTTTGACTTATACGTCACCCATGGAATATGTTTGCTGGAATATGTTTTTGGATAGTTTATGTATTTTCCACGCATGTGTCAGATGCTCATAGTGAAGATAACACAGCCACGTGGTATCACCGTCTTAGTCACATTCAGAGTCCCCTTTGCTCCCGGAAGCCCATAATGGTGGGTTTTGAAATGCAGCTTGCTGTATCTATAAAATAAGTGAAATTCAACTTTTTGGGTCTGGGGTGTTGCATTTTTGTTATTCTACTTTTAAAATAGGAATTTTTTTAAGTCTGGAAAATTAGAATGAACCAGCTGGAACATTCTTAGGTTATAGGAAAGCAGTCCAAATACATTTATTCACTATGTGTTCCGGTTCCGTTAATCCTGCTAAGCTCATACTGGATTAAGGCAGAGCATTACCTTTCCTTAAGTTTGCATTAACTGCTGCTATACCATGACAGGAAAATATGACTAGAGCAAGAACCCCTAATGGCAGGGTCTTTTTTGTTTGTTTTTTCCAGAACTGGGGATTGAACTCAGGCCCTTGCACTTGCCAGGGAAGTGCTTATTCCACTGAGCCATCTCCCCTGCCCCTGGCAGGTTCTTAAAGTCATGATCAGCAGTGAGACAGGGGGGCGTCCTTCCTGATGTCCAGGGTGCACTGAGCTTGGCTGCAACTATTTTACTGGGTAACCTTTCAAACTGTTTATTCTCAGAACCCCCTTTGTGTCTCTTAAAGACTACGAAGGACTCCAAGGGGCTTTCATTAATATACGGCTAATGTCTTTTGGTATTTACATCTCCAAAATTAAAATTTAGAACAATTTGAAATAACTGCGAATTAGTCCTCCTAAAATGACAAAAACCCATATTATGTTAATACAAATAATATTTTTATGAAAAGTAATTTTCCAAGACAAAGTCTAATGAGAAAGCTTGGCATCATTTTATTATTTATAAATCTCATTAATGTTAAGCTTTGTTTGCCTAATGTTTAGTTAGGTATATCTGCAGTCAGTCAGTTTTGAGGTGTTGTTTGGCTGAAGAATGTAAAGAAAATGGCCTTCCAGGTGTATGTGTAGAAGTGGAGAGATAATTCAGTAGCCACATACTACTTTTTTGTGTGTAGCCTTTTTAGATAATTGTGGACATTCTTTTTTTGACACTACACCAAAATTCAAAGGCAGTAGTTGGTTCCTGTATGGAATCAGTTCAATGTTTACACATGTGGGTATTTTTTGTACTTTGAATCAATCTTTTACCCATGCAGTTCTTTTTACTGAATTATTCTTTCATTAAATTACATAGATCTTCCAAATGTTGGCATATTTCAGCATGTATTTTCTTTCAATGTCACTCTTGTTAATTTAGCCCCTAGTGTCATCAGAAAAACTCATTTTTAAAGTTGTTCAGATCTCTTTGGAACAGTTATAACTTTTCCACAATTTTGGTGTGTATTTTTCTTATAAGCTCACTTTGTATCTTTGGCAACACATATCTAGGATTCTGCTCTTTTTATTCCAGAGTTATTTGCCTGAAAGACAAATCCCCAACATGCCTCTCAGTTTTCCCTCCCCAAGCCCGGGTGTGTGATCTTTATTGTGAGGAATTTGTGAGCTAATAGACAGGGAAATTCCCATCCCAGTGGTGGTGGTGAAGGATCTTCGTGAGCAAGCGTAGGCTGCTCCCTTCCTTGGTTCTCTTCTTGAGAGGAATGAGACCTTGGCCTGGATCCTGCATCTGCATGACCCTTTTAGGTGGATATGCTATTTTTCTGATAGGCAGTTTCTTCTCATATCTATTCACTGGAGCTGAGGATAGGAGGGAATGTCTGCAGACTCTTTAGAAAGTAGAACACATAAAGGGGTGGGTTGTTCAGAAACCGGGAAAACAGTGCTTGAGAAGTGGTAGCTCCTTGGGTGCTTTTTTTTTTTTTTTCCTGCGAGGCAGGTCTGGTACAGGTCCTCTGCAGACTTCTGGTCCCCACTTTTTTCGGTCCTTCCCTACTCCACGGGCAATCTGTACTCCCGGGCTTCTGGACTTCTTTAGGCTGTGTCTTTCTTGGGTCACTTCCCTGACACTGGCTCTTCTTCTCCCTCTCCCCTCCTTCAGGACCCCTGTGATGGCACTGCACCTCCAGGAAAATGCCCCTCCCTCCAGGCCAGCTGCCAAGCACCTCATTCCTTCTGAGGTTCTAGAGCCTGGCGTATTACGCACAAGACGTGAACATCTTTAGGGGCGCTACATCGTTACAGTGATGTCAGTTCCCACTCTCTGGAACATTTCTTCCCTACCTTCCCTGTTTGGTAAACTTGTCCTGTGAATGTCACCGCATTGCAGAAGCTGTCCTGGTCTCCTGATACTTTCTAATCTACCAAGGCCAAGGCTGACAAGTGGATTCCTGTGTTGGTATCTGCACCTCAGCTGGGCAGCTGGAGGTCTGTCTCTCTGATGGACCGTGAGCCTGACCTTATTAGCCTTTGTTTCCCCCAGTGCTCTCACTGCATGAAACAGAACATCAAGAAGTAGCACGGGATTGCCTTGTAGGGACTGCTATCGTGGGCCATCTTTACATGCCACTGAATGAACGAATGCTCAGCTGCTTTGGTGTGATAGTGGCATCAGCCACTGTTATGCAGGCTGATAACAGTTTGTAGGCATTACTGTAATACTTGAGAGGTCATATGTCAGTCAATAACAGTAACACTGATCACGTGGTTTGTGTAGAAAATGGGTATTTAATGAAAGGGAATTAGGGCAAAAGGTTAAATATTGATAAATATAGATGAAGAATTTCACTCAACTTTGCTGTAGTTGGGGCATTTTTCAAAATAGAAAGTGGAGAGGGATGAAATACCAATAGAGGAAAAAGTGCAATAAGTGTTGGTTGAGAGGGAACGGCTTTGGAATTCTGGTTGGCTTCTGTGGAAGTATAACTCAAGTTGCTGATTAGCATCATTCTGTGTGTTTTTGGTGTAATGAGGATCCTCTCTGGGTTCCCACTAGGTGCAGATCATACTCAGAGAGCTTAATCAGATCTTTCCCCTATTGCTGGATGAGTGCAGGAGCCTGCAAGTGTACTTGCTAATGTTCTGAGAACAAGGTGCTTTCAGGGCCATGCATGTGGTAGAGCCTTTCTAGCATGTTCCCATATCAAATTCCACTGGTCACTTTCCTGGCCCCTTTCCATCCCTATCCTTCTGGGGCTTCAGGTCACCCTCCAGGAACCAGGTTCTGTTTTCAGTCATCAGACTGTTGGTATTGAGGTCAGCTGATACCTCTAGGGCACTCCTATCACCATGTGACCAGCTGTGCTATTTGACTGATGAAACCCTCCCAAGGTTTTCTGCCCCTGCTGACCTTGCTTCTCAATGGTAGTATCAGGAGAGGCATTGCTCTTTCTACCTCTGTCCCTTAGATTTGTGGAAGTGGCCTATAACATTTTCCTGTCAGCCTCTTAGAAACAGGAGACTCCCTCCACTGAGGTGAAAGAGTGGAATCTCTGGTTGAGAGATCAACTGGTCAGGTTTTCCATCCCCTCCCTGATGGCCCCTGTGGCTCTGCTCATGCCTCATGCCTGGTGAGAATGGTAGGACCCTGTCACTTCCCCCATCTTCCCTTGGCTTTATAGTTGGGCTATCCTGCCTGTTGTGACATGAGCTGAATTATTCCTTCCACTGTGAGTCCACCCTTGGAAGTTCTGTGACTAAATCAAAATGCACCTAACAATTCTTCTTTGCCTTCCAGGAGCCTGAAGCCCCTGTTGGAGCCCTCCCAAGACATCTTGACTCCCAGGCCCAAGAGATCTTCCGTGAGAAGTTGAGTCCTCCCATCCTAGTCCAGGTATAACCTGCCTGTCAGTAGCCCAGCAGTTGCTAAAATATGTTACTCATTTTAATCTTAAATTAACTTCCAAGAGTAGCCTTACTTCATTTCCCCCCATCCTCTTTCCTGTCCTGTCCTGTCATTTCCTGTCTTTTCCTTTCAGTGCTAGGGATGGAATCCTAGGCCTTAGGCATTCTAGGCCCAGGGCTCACAAGTTGGGCCACACCCGCAGGTCTGACTTCTTTTTAAAATGTTCAATGGCAGTCCTTTTTCAGACTCCTTAACCCCAAAATTCTCAAGGGCTCAACAAAAAACAGGGCTGCCTTTCCCTTCAGTGTGTCTTACATTCCTCCATTTCCTTCTGACAGAACTCAATGTCTAATATCTGGGAACCGTCTGGCAGGGCTTTCTCCCAGAGACCTGCTCACCAGGGTGAACTGTGAGGCCAGGGGCAGCCTGAAGCCCTCTGCCCTCATCCCTGGGCAGTGCCATGCCATTCTGCTCTGAGTCTCCGGCTCTTCCGTGAGACACCGTGGCAGGGATACACAGTGTTGTTCTTCTCCCTGGACTCTTTGACTTTCACCCTTTCACGTGAAAGGCTTATCCTTTCACGGTGGCTTATCCTTGAGTTTGGGGGCTGAAGCAGTCTCTTTAGGTCCTGATGTTTCAGCTTGTGGAGCCTGAGGTTCTGAGGTCAAGCTTGGCCAGGGAGACTGTAAATCCCCTCCCCACCCAGAAGTACCTCTGATTTTTACCTGATTTTTATGGTAGAGCTTGGCAAAAGATATGGAAACTATGTTTTTTCACCGTAAAAGTACTTTCTAAACTACTGCTGTATTTATTTTTTGCTAAACTAAAAAGGATTACTGAGAGATATCACCATTATTGTCACTGTTTTATTCATCATGAAGCATAAGGGTAGTTCTTTTTTTACCTCAAGAGCATTAGGCAGGTGGGGGCATTAAGTGAGTAAGTGTGTGTGTGTGTGTGTGTGTGTGTGTGTGTGTGTGTGTGTGTGTGATGAATCCATCCCACCTGGCCATGCTTCTCTCTCCCATTCTGATAGTCATTGGTGGCCATTAGTGTCTTTAATTCTGAGTTCATAGCAACATTACTAAAAATGCACAAGTAATCATAATCAGTAGCCCACTCCGAGTCCTTGATCAGAAGAACTTTGTGGGGGATACAGCCAGTGACTTCTGCTACTCATGTACAACTCTGAGCAGGCTGCCTTGAGGTGAGAATTAAGAAGGAAGGAGGGATCCCCTCCCCTGTGAGCTTCAGGTTCCCAGGGAGGATTAGGCTGTATATAAGCATCTTGTTCCTGAGGCTGCTACAACTTGGTAAATGTCGGAGACAGAGGTGCAGAACATCCTGGTGTGCTTTCCAGAAGACAGCAGGTAAAATTAGCTCCTTGCCAGAGGGGAGGTGGGAGGACGGCCTGCGGGAAGATGGCCAGAGCTATTGGGTGCTGGGCCAGGGAGGCCTTTCTTTTCCTTGTCAATTCAGGCACTTCCTCAGTAAAATTGCTTAAATCAGAGTGAGTTCATTTGATGCTTCTTCTCCTGTGCCACTCAGATGGGCTTCTGCTGTCTTCAAAGACTGAGAACATTCTCCTCATTACCTGACACTAGGGCTGAGCGTTGAAATCTGAAGGAAGAGCCTGAGTCAGGGTCTTCTGTTTCCCACATGGGGCAGTGTTGTGCCCAGGGTATGGGTGCAGCCCTTGGGAGGTCCTCGGGCAGTTCCCAGTTGGTGTCTGAACGGGGTATTCCTGGCCTGGTCATCAGGGCACTTCACTACCATGAGCTTCATCCTTTCTTGGGAGAAAAGGTACAGAGCCAGTGGCAGATGGTAAGATAGCTTGTGCATCTTCAGGACAAGGCCTCCCAGTGCTGGCCATGCTTGTTTGTATTCTCTTTCTTCGTATTCTGTCTCCTCCTGCCACGAGAGCAGGGGGCTTCTCTGTCCTGTCCCTGCTGCTTCCTTAGTACCTAGAAGGAGGACGAGCATGTAGCTTGTGCGCAGGAAATGCAAGTTGTGCAGCTTGGTGGTCACCAGTTGTTATTTGCTTTCTTCTCCCTTCCCAGACTCCAAGCACTGTGAAGACATGGACAACATGTGGCTCATTTTCTGTGGCTCCTGTGAGCTCTAGTACAGTGGCCCAGGGTAGAGACACAGTTTTTTGTTTGTTTTTTTCATTTCCCTTAAAGGACAACAGTCCTTTGATGTCTGCCATTTTCCCAGATGGCAGAAATTACTTTTGAGTCCTGTAGCCTTAACCAAGAAAAGATAACTCAGGCAAAGTAAGGATTGATCTACCTTTGAAGGAAAAACCCTTAAGGAAAATTTAGGTCTTTTTTTCCCTCCATGATTATTTAACAAGAGACTAAATTAAAACTCACTATTACTGCATATGAGTTTGTGGACCATCAGTGACCTGCTGTGCCTTAAAGCATCTCCTGTCTCACAGTTCTGTGGGTCAGGAGTCAGCACAGCTTGGCCAGATTCTGTTTTGGAGTCCATGGTACAGGGTGGTGAGCAGGGCTTAGTGTTGATGTGGAGGCTTGAGTAGGGTAGAACCTGCCTCCAGGCCTCCCCACGGGATTGGCCAAACCTGCTTCCTTGAGGCGTAAGATTGAGGCTGACCAGACTGACCTGGAGGCCACCCTAGCTCCCAGAGGAACCCTGCAGCCTGTCTCACAGGGGCTTCCGCAACTTGGCCGCTTGCCTCCTCAGGCCGGGAAGGAGCAACTGCCAGTGCATAGAGCCTTGTATAAGTCAACCTGCCAGTGAAAGCCGGGTCCTGACCTTTGTCATGGTCTCTGGGTCCAAGGCAAGCTGTAGGCCCCATGCATACTGGGCTCACTGGAGATAGGGTTCTGAGGCCACTTCAGTGGCTGTCCAATGCAGATTACCATTTCTGGTCTCTTAAGAGGACAGATGGACAAGTGAATGTCATGTAAGACCTGTTTTTGTGAAAAGTTATTTGATCCATTTTTCTACAATGGCCCTGATTTTAAATTTCCTAAGGGTCACAGCTCTTTTCATCCCCTACCCAGCATAGATGTCCCTGAGCCATCGGATGGTGAGAGCCTGTCTTAGTTGTTTTTCTTGTTGCTGAGACAAAATACCAACACCCACAGTGAAAGAGGGAATGCTTTCTTGAGCTTGTAGTTTGCAGAGGTTTCAGTCCATAATAGGCAGACTCTAAGACAGCGTGGCAGAAGGCAACAGTTCATGGCAGCGGAAGACAGCAAAAGCAGCAAGAGCAGAGAGGAGGAAACAAGCCTCTTTGTGCCCCTTTATCTTATTTAGACTGCTGAGATTAGGGCGGTGCCAATCCAGTCAGTGGACTGATCCAGCCATTGCTCACCCTTAATTCAGACACCCTTACTACCAGCATTGCACGATGAATCCACCACACACTCTGGATTCAACCACCTCCAAAAAAAGCTGCCCCTATGACTGCATGAGGCATCGGGGAACATTGAGACACCAACTGTCACAGAGGCTGTCTCCAGACACTCAGTTATACTTGAGGAGAAGGGTGGAGTACATTGCTGCTTGCCAGCTGCCTTAGGATCCAGCTGTGGTTTTGTCACATTGTGTAGCAAAATATAGTTCAGAATCTTAAAAGACTTGCTCTTTGATGAGTTTACAGCAGGTAAGATATCCTCACAGTAGGTTTTTCTGTGACAGTGGGAACTCCAGGAGGTTTTATGTAAGGCATAAATTCATATATCTGTTTTCAACCTTTAAGAATTCAGTAAAGGAAACCAGATGTAGTGGTGTATGTCTGTAATTCAGCTACTCAGAAGCATCACAAGTTTGAGGCCACCTGGGTAATTTAGAATGACCCTATCTCTAAATAAAATTTAGAAAATAAAAGGCTGGGAATATAGCACAGTGGGAGAGCCCTTGCCTAGCATGGGTGAGGCCCTGGGTTCAGTTCCCAGTACCTCAAAAAACAAAAAGGATTTATGCTAGGGGTGTAGCGTTAGTGGTGGAGTGTGTGCGTGGTGTGCGTGCGTGAGGCCCTGGGTTTGATTCACAGCACCATCAAAACAAGCAAAGACCAAGCAGAGTGCCTTAGAAAACAGTCTACACTCTCCTGATCTTTAGATTGGAGTCTAACCATCATTACACAGTAGCCAAAAAGGGGTGATTTCAATTCACACATTAAAGGTCTGCAGCAGGGAGCTGAACATATGTACAGAAAGGCTGTGGAGTCAGGCTTGGTTGGGTCCTGGGGTGATATCTGTGGTTATGGTGCTGCACAGAGCCTTCTGCTAAATCAAAGCAGATGGCACAGTTGTGATTTCTGATAAAACATGGCCACGAGGTCCTGAAAGAGTTCTTCACACTTCGCACCACCCATGTTCTCTTGGTGATAGGAGCTATGTTGGATTCATCTGGCGTCCTGGCCCCCTGGACATCTCTACAGCCTGGTCCTCTGGTACCTTCTGGTCTTCCCTCAACCAGTCATGCATTCTTATATTTAGAGTCTTTTGGGTAATTAAACATTTACCTCTTGGTTCTTTGAAGGAATTTTAAGCCAATTAAATCACGTTTTTCTCTGATTTTAAGGCTATTCTGTGTCTGCCTTCTGCTTTACATATATTGCACGAAGAGGAAACCTCCTGGCTGGGGGAACAAAGCAGGAAGTTGTTACAGGTTAGACAGGCAAGGTGGTGGCTTGTGCCAGCAGGCTGTGACGTTTCTTCCAGGTTATAAATGTTTTCCTTCTGCAGTGAGAGTCTGAGATTTTGGCTGCCTGTGAAGTACGGTTGTAAATAGGGCAAAAAGACTTAACCATAAAACATGGTATTTCCTGCTTGGGGGTTACTTGTGTACAGTATATACTGAGGAGATAATTCCCATGGTAACCTGTGTGTGCGTGCGTGTGTGTGTGTGTGTGTGTGTGTGAGAGAGAGAGAGAGAGAGAGAGAGGTAATATAATGTACCCTGGAGCTCTTTGAAGAGAAAACAGGATTGGGAACAAATAGCAGGTAAAA